GGGTTTCCTGTCCTTTGAGCTCCCTGTGGATGTACCTTTTGTCAAGGTATTTTTCTTCATAGCTTTCACCATGATTAACACTTGACCATTGAGCCAAAGTTGCCTGCAAAACAAGTATTTGAAGCTAATCAGTAGCTAATGCATAATCCTTGCCAAAAGGAATGCACAACTTTGAGAAGCCTAAAAGGATTTGCATCTTTGAGTAGCACTTGGAATGGTCCTTGCCAAAAGGATTGAACAACTTTGAGTAGCAGTTGGGTGGTCCCTACCAAAAGGATTGAACAACTATGAACAGTTGAATGGACCCTTGCCAAAAGGATTGAACAACTTTGACCAGTTCTGGTATCCCCCATTGCACATCTAGGATATGGGATTTCAAGCTCTTGCCCAATGGAAATATTGTTTGACCTGGAGTTGTCGAACCTGATCAAATCTGATCAAATCTGATCAAATCTGATCAAACCTGATCAAAACCATAATTTGATCAGATTTCATCAGATTTCATCAGATTTCATCAGATTTCATCAGATTTCATCAGATTTCATCAGATTTGCAAAATCCACATTTGTAGGTTGACTACTCATAGATTCATTTGATTAGACTCCAACATGTTCCCTCTTGATACTTCATCCACACCTTTTGCAATCTATTCCAGTCCCTTTTTTTGACCCTTGGGCAACCCTTTTGGTCACCCTTTGCAAAGGGGCAATCCCCATTGTCCCAAGGGTTTATCTGCAAGCCCACCACCCTTTTGCCAAGGGATGCTCAAACATTTGCTTGAAACTATTCCTACAGACTGACAACATTAGTCCTTTTAAAGTTTATTCAAGGCGAAAACAACTCTATGGGTGAGTAGCTTTCAAGGGGCTACACTGTACCTCAAACAGTTTGAGTGAGGGGCCCAAGACTTTCAAGGAGTTGAGCTATGAGCTTTTGAGGGTGAATCCTTTTGCCAAGGATTTGTTGTTTGACCTGTGGGCTGGACCACCGCGGCTATCTAACACAAGGGTACACCTTTTTCATGCAAATGTCCAACTCACCCCCTTCCTTTTCCCATCCCTTTCCCAACCCTTCCCCAACCCTCACCTGATTTTTTTTTAACTCCAAGCGGCTCTTGTTTGTGCCACCTCCTTTTGACAAGGACTTGGGTAGGTGAAACAGCTGGCAGAGCATGCTACAAACTCCTTTTGGCAAGGAGTTGGGCTGACCTGCAAACTCCTTTTGGCAAGGAGTTGGAATGGCTTGGCAAACTCCTTTTGGCAAGGAGTTGGGCCTGGCAAACTCCTTTTGGCAAGGAGTTGGGGCTGGCTTGGTGCTTGGCTATCAACTCCTTTTGGCAAGGAGTTAGGCCGGCTAAGGGTGCTGCAAACTCCTTTTGGCAAGGAGTTGGTGTGGCCTGGCACTCCTTTTGGCAAGGAGTACCCCTTTTAGCAAGAGCTGGGGGCACCTCCCCTTTTAGCAAGGGATTTTGTTGCAGCTGCCCTTTTGTCAAGGGATCAAGCGGAGACTGCCCGAAGGAGGAGCCCCTCCACAGCTGCAGCGAAGGTGCTGTACACCTGGTGCCCTCTGTTCACCAACCAGTCGTGCTTCTCGAACTTGGTGGTGATCGGCCACACCGTCACTCCTTTTGCCAAGGAGTCCTCCAGCACCTCCCAGGAGTCGTCCACGCAGTGGCCGATCCTGTTTTTCAAGCACCACTCCCCCTTGCCTCCAATCCCTCCCTTCCTCCTTGTGAAGAAAAGGCCATCGACGGCCAGCCCCAGGTCATTGACTTTTCTTTCCACCTCCCGCTGCCGCGTGGGGCCGCAAAAGCTGACTATGAAGACTTGGAAGCCATGCTGTTTCAACAGCTGCAGGGCTTCCAAGCTCGCCTGGGGGACTTGGCCCCCAGGCAATTCCAGGGTCTGGTACCAGTCCACCATGACCCGCAAGCGGCTCTCGGCCTTGAGCACCCATCGGCCTCCCCCTTTTGGCAAGGGGCCTTGCTGGTGTACCCCTTTTGGCAAGGGGTCTTGTTGGCCTTCCTCTTTTGGCAAGGGGTCTTGCTTGCCTTCCCCTTTTGGCAAGGGGTCATGCTTCTCCTTCTTGTCCTCCTCCAGCTTTTGCTTCTTCTGCTCCTGCAGTGGGGAGGAGCTGGAGGAAGAGCTGCTTGTGCCCCCAAAGTCTGCACTACTTTCGACCACCTCCTTTTGACAAGGAGTGCCGCCTGCTGCAGGCTCTTCTTCAGCGCCTTTCCCCTTTAGGCAAGGGGTTTCTTTCACTTTCTGCGCATCGCTCGGCCCGAGGTTAAGGCCTGAGCCAGCAGGCGCTTGGCCCCAGGACGAGTCAGCAGGCTGCTGCCTGCGGGCCTCTTCCTCCTCTTTGGCTTTGGCTTCTTTTGCCAAAGCCTTCTGCCTCATCTTCTCCCGTCTTGCCTGGCTGACCGTCCCGACCCCTACGGGCCGGTTCTTATTATTCTTTTCCACATATCTTCCATCCCACTTTGACCAGTCGGCCATGCCCTTTTAGCAAGGGCTTTGCCCTTTTGGCAAGAGCTTTCGCGCTTACCTTTTGACAAGGTGTTCTCACCTTTTGGCAAGGTGTTGCGAATTGGGCCCTCTTTTGACGAGGGGCTCAGCTAGCGGTCGGGCTTGAGCAAGAAAACAGCTGCGGTCATGCATGCACGTGCGCGCCAGGCATGGGACAAGGGCAAGCGTGAAAGCAAGCAAAACGTCAGACCCCGTGCTATTTTTGTTTGGGAGTGTGCATTAAAAAGCAAAGTGTGTGGTAGGGGGGCTGTGACATAGCACTGATTTGCAGTAGCAGCCTTGAGCCTTTTCACTTTATGTTTTCGGCCGTATGTCTAGGTGAGACATGATTCGCACTTTTGGCAAGGGATGATCTTATGCCCCTTTTGGCAAGGGATGTGTCCAGGCGCGACACGCTTAGGGCTGATGCTCCCTTTTGGCAAGGGGTGAGGCGGCCCTTTCGGGTAAGGGATGATGCCCCCTTTTGGCAAGGGGCCCCTTTTGGCAAGGGGTGAAGCGGCCCTTTTGGTTAAGGAGTTGGGCTGACCTGCAAACTCCTTTTGGCAAGGAGTTGGAATGGCTTAGCAAACTCCTTTTGGCAAGGAGTTGGAATGGCTTGGCAAACTCCTTTTGGCAAGGAGTTGGGCCTGGCAAACTCCTTTTGGCAAGGAGTTAGGCCAGCTCAGTCCTGCTGGCACAGCTCCTCCCTAAGCTGCAACGCTTCCTCTTTTGTCAAGTGGTTTGTTCGCATTTTGCTCATGATGGTGTCAATGTGTTGAGCAAATTTGCTAGACCGCTTCTTGGTGACTTCCACCACTAATTTCAATTTCTTGCTTCCTGGCTCCTTTGTGCCTGTAATGTATTGTCTCTCTGGCTTGGTAGCACTTACCTTTTGGAGCTTGAGCCAAGGCAGCCTCGCACCACTGCTGGGCTCACTTGCTGCGGTGACATCTTGCTGGGCGCTTGGTCGCTCTTTGGCCCTTTTAGCAAGGGCTGCAGGCTTCTTCGACACAAGGCCCATGCGCATTTTCAGATCAGTGCCAGGTGGGGGGGCAGCAGGTTTTGCGTGAGCTTTCGACCCCAGCCTTCTCCTTAAAAAGGAAGGCTCTTTGAGAGGCTGCGCCATTGCAGCTTCCGCTTTTGCCAAGGGATGAGCTGCGCAGGGCTCCTCTTCCCCATCGTCCAAGGGATGAGCTGCGGGAAAGGGCTCCTCTTCCCCTTTTGACAAGGGGCTGCCCGTCTCGACGGTTTTTTTTTCTTAGGCGTCAGCCAGCACGTGGGGAACCCTTCGGCGTCAACTGACACATCGCTCACTTCTTTCTTAAGCCTTTTGGCCTGGGCATCCCTTTCGGCAAGGGTTTTGTCGGCGGTGTCCAAGGCTGGAGGGCAAGCTGACTTTTTGTCAATAAGGCCAAGCACATCTTGCAGCTGAATGAGCTCAGCGCTTGTGAGCCTGGCCGCGCAAGTCCTGAGGTCTGCTTCTGCGTTTTTCAGCCGTCTCATGTGGAAAAGGATCACGCCCAGCCGTTCGACTTTCATTCCCACCCAAACTCCTCCGTTGAATTTCGTCTTGTTTAGAGCAGGGTCTTGCTGGTAGGCTCTGGTCAGCGCTGCTCTCAGGTTGCTCTGATGTATCTCGCAGCTCTTTTCAGCTTGCACCAGAGCCCTGACCAGCCCCAGCACATGCAGCAAGCCACTTGGGTTGCAGGCTTGAGTCCTGCTCACGTTTTCGTACGGGCCAAGGTCAGACAGCAGATCGCTGTGGTTGGACAAGATCTTGAACAAGATGTCAGCGTCCACCCTTGGCTTTGAGAAGTGCCGGGCCCCGCCTTTGCCTGCTACTAAGGCCATGGCGCCCTTTTGTCAAGGGCTGACGGCAACGGACCAGAGTCTGCGGAAGAGGCGCCCTTTTGTCAAGGGCTGGAGCCAAAGTCTCACAGCCGCGGAGTGAATGTGAATGTACATATATATATATATGTTATAACTATATTGCGCTAGCTCACGACCTGCAAACTGGACATTGGAATCAATAGAAAACGCAAAGTGTGAATCAATAGGAAATACATCGAAATCAGCCAAAAATATCAATAGACGGTAAAAGTCTTGGCAGTCCAGCTTCTAATTGAAAAAATCAATTAAAACAATCCAAATCAATATCAATAAAAAAAAGTTGTTTTTGATTGATCAGAATCAATAGCCGATGCTCAGGGTTTGTCCATGAGCAAGAACACAAACATGGAGGTGGAGACCAACTTCGCCCGCCAATCCGTGATGGCTTTCAAGTCGATTCTTTTGCGGAGCAGCTAAAGTTGGGGATCGCAAGAAGTCTCCACTTTGGCAAAGAGAGGCGAGGAAGTTGGGAGTTGGATCGCAAGAAGTCTCCATCCACGAGGGAATCCAACAAATCTGGTCATCCATCCCCTTTACGAGGGACTTGCGCCACCCATGTGCTTTCTATGTGCCCAGTCGGCTCGAACCTCAAAAAACCGCCAGGTGCAGCTGTTCCAGCGTGGGCGCATGCTGCAGGCGCTCAGGCAAATGCTGCTGGAGCGCGGCGCCCAAGCTTTTCGCGCGACGTGGGAATGTTTTTGTTTGTCTGTTTTTTTTTTCAGGGTACCAGTTTTTTTGTTTGGTGATTAGTTTTTTTTCAGGGTACCTGTTTTTTTTGGCAAGGAACGCCAAAAGGAAGGTCGCCATTTCGAGGGCCCCCTGCATAGGCGCCCTTACTATCTGTATGTGCATATATACAGAATTTATAGACTGGTATATGGACTAATATGTACCTAGTGTAATATACCACAAATACATATATATATATATACACGTCACAGATGTAAAGCCGGCAGCGAATACAAAATGGGTCACGGGAACAATTACCTGGTGGATATCAGGGGCACCTGCACGTGGTTGGGTTAGATATTTTCGGACCCATATTTTTCATGAAATGTCCCCCAGCAACAAAAACAACAAATACCCACGCACCAATTAACATGGAACCTGACAGGGGTCCTGGTTTCGATCATTTCCCTTGTAAAGGGACCCCGAGCAGGCGTCGCGGCGCCTGCCGGGCGCGCTCTCCGAACGTCAGGTTCCATGTTAATTGGTGGTAGGGTCGGTGCAGCTGTTCTTTCGGATATCAGCCCTCCAAACAAGTCCCAGAGACAATCTACTAGGTTTTACTTGGAGCGGGGTTAAAGTGATAGCATGGGCGCCGTTACTATTTGTATATACAATAGGGACGAACGTCAGCTTCCATGTTAATTGGTGGGAGGGTAGGTGTAGCTGTTCTTTCGGATGTATTCCAAGCTTGCCCCAAGAAAAGGCGGCAAACAAATTTCGCTGGAAGATCGCACGGTAACTTCCCTGTTTCATCTTCTCCGTGGATCCAGATTTCCAGAAAACCACCAAAAGCTCAAGGAAACTGCATGTGCTTGCACATGAATCATACAATTATTTGGGGTGCCACCCCTCCCAGTGGTGCCCCCCTCCTTTGTGGTTCACACGCACACCAACAAGCTTCTACTTGCAAGCAACTTGCGTGCCAGAATCGGAGTTGATGGAAAAGATCTCCTGAGACATCTGAGCCAAAATCAATATCTGGGGATAGATGAAGGTTAGTAAGGGACAATCCCCTTGCCATAAATAGCTGCGGACACCCGCCTTCTTAATTCTTTACATAGTTCTGGGATTGCGACCATTTTAATACTGGGTTTTGATTATGACTCGCCTTGAATCAAGAGCACCGGCGGGAGCTCCATGACATCCCCGTTGAATACACGCCTGGACACTTCCGTTTGTTTGTTCGGCCCGTGAAAAGATTAGAGTATGTCCAGTAGTGATAGAGATTGCCTTTAAAACCAACAGGGGCAAATACAACATGTTCCTAAGCAAATGGAAGGACAGTTGAGCTCTAGTTGCTCGCCTCCCCAAAACCAACTTCTCAACCATGTCGAAAATCCTTGTCCCAAGAAGCAGTGGTTGCACCTGAACCCCTCAACATTCCAACTTAAGACTTTTGTTATAGCTCAACATGTTGGGGTGAGTTCTGTTCTTTTGTTGTTTCTTCGTTTGTTTCTTCTTTTTTTCGGGTAGTCTGAGGGTCCAGGTACTGGATGTGGTTGACGAAAAGCGAGGGGGTCTCGATTGATGCATCCGTCCAGGCTGGAGCTGGGGGATCTTCAGGTGATGCTTCTGAGGCGCCGAAAAAAATCTCGAGGATCGGGACACGTCCCCATCCCGTGGACGGACTCAGTTGTTCAGTGGCACCCTTTTAATCCCTTTTCTTGGTGGCTGCCCCCACCAAGAATGGTCTTCCCCAAAAAGGGTTCCAATTCTTTTTTTCCAGGGTCACTGAACAACTGAGGGCCCAGTGCAAGAAGGCCACCGGAATGATATGTTTCAGCCATAGATTTCAATGTGGTGCAGGGTTTTGCCCATCCACAGCGTTGTTCCCTTTTGAGTGGTTCAACATCAGTTTTTTGGGCCATTGGAGTGAGTGTCCCTTCTGAAACGGTTTTCGCGTGGCTAAAGGTTGAACATGGATTTGAATATACATTTACTGGGGCAAGGTTTAATCTGTTTCACTTGACAGCGTCCAACACCGATTCCTGTCGGCGATCGTTTGTCAGGATTTCTGAACCGGTGTTTGCGCGGATGTCGATGCGCCATTGTTGTTGTGTTGCAAAAGGAATGCTACAAGCTTAGCATTTCAGTCTTGGGATTATTTGCTTCTTCTTCATTGTCGTCCAAGGCCAAAGGCTGAAGCTTTTTCTGGCCAAGTCTATCTCTCTACTGGGATTGCCAGGTCTTTCTTGTTGGCCCTTGACAGGGCGAGCGCTGCTTCATTTGAGCCACAATCAAAACCCGGGTAGATGAAGGTTAGTACGGGAAAAATCCCAACCATAAAAAGCTGCGGAATTCCGTCTTCTTAATTCTTGAAGCATGGTTCTGGGATCACCATTTTAATAACGGGTTTTGATTATGACTCATATGAAGTATGTCAACCGCTAAACGGAAGGCGTTGCCTAAAGGGAGGGTAACATGGCACCTGACAGGGCCCCCCAAGAGGAAATCTATCGTCCAGGGACCCCAAGAGCCAGAAGAGCTCAACTGGTTCAACAAAGAAGTTTCCCGGGGCGGCGGTGCCCAGTTTGTTGGAGGGGAGGCCAATTGCTGGCCCGCTTGTTTCCCTCGAGCACAGGTCCGGCACTCACGCTGGGTATCAAATACTTGTAAGCCTGCATTCCCCCCCCCATTTGCATGGTTGTTGTTGGGAGACATTTTGCATTTTCGCTTATTGTGGTGTAGTGTTCCAAATCCACTTATATAACTGTTTTTTTGTTGCTCCCCTTCCAACGTCAACCAAGAAAGGGAACCAAAAGGGGGATGGACCTCTTTGGTGAACGCGGCCCGATTTCGGGCTCCGATATCCACGTCTGGTCTTTTGAGCTCAGTTGTTCAGTGGCACCCTTTTTTCTCTTTTTTCTTGGTGGCTGCCCCACCAAGAATGGTCTTCCCCAAAAAGGAATCCCTTTTTTTTCCAGGGTCACTGAACACTGAGAGAGGGTTCTCCAGCGTCCAGGTGGTGTGCCGTAGCAAAGCAGAGCCGCTGGGCGCGCAGGGCTGAGGACCGGGGGGGGCAAAAGGGGGGGGAAGTGGTGCAACCAGCAGGCCCAAGGGTTACTTCTTTTTGCTTCAGAATATGTTTTTTTATGCAAGCCTGTTGGATGTAAAGGGAATCTATCAATGGAAATAGTTTTTTTTTGCAGGGGCCTCAAGCAGATGGAAGGGTGGGGATGCTTGGCGGTTTGGATTGGTTGGGCCTGGTTCTTGTAGATCTTGGTTTGAGGGTACGTGGGGTTTCAACCACCCGCGGTAACGTCTACCCACAAGAGAAGGGAGTGCCCGATGTCTGTTTTTCCATGGCCAACGGAGCGCTGGGCTGCATAGTTGAAAGCTGGGTTTTAGGCCATTTCGGTCAATCCCAGAAAAGGTTTCTTTTCACAACCCACTTCCCAACATGTTTGAAGTTTACATATTTATGTACACCCCAACACCTGTTTGTGTTTCCCATATTCGAAGTATCAAGTGCTGTTCAGAAAGCATGAGAACTCTAATGTTAAAAACTCACAAGTCCTCATTTGTACACAGCTTTTGCGGGGTTCCATGTTGATTTGCAAGGGAGTCAAATAAGGGGTTAAGACATGCTTGTCCCATGCTGAGGCAATTTGGGTTCATAGTAACTGCTGGCTCATCAAGACCAGGCCTCCTTCAGGCGTCAAGAATATGAGTTCAAGCTCACAGGTAGCACGCGCTTACCCAGGATGAAGGTCCCTTTGGATTTCTTGCTTCAGGTTTTGGAATTTTGGGCCATGGGTCATAACCTATGCCTCCGTGTTGGGGCGGATGAACACCCATACTACCTATTGTGATGCTCACCAGGGGTACAGGCTTTTGACCATAGGTGTCCTTTTTGGTTGTTTTGGTCGAAAAATAGATGGCCCTGGCTCACCTGGTTTACTTTAATCATCTACCAGGGATATCCATCTATTTCCCCTAAACGGACACCTCTGGTTTTGACCCACAGCCACATTGGTCGACTTTGCAGATCGATCGCCTTGAAATCGCTCGAAGGAAGTCTCCTTTGCTTCAGGACCGCGGTGTGGGGGCTGCCGAGTGTAGCCTTCGCCTACTGCAGCACAAGTGGCCGGGGGACCCAGGGGATAGCAGAAATCTCTGGATTTTCAACCTACCTAGTAGGCTGTACTCATGGTTGAAAACACCCTCAAGCAACCAGTCTTCCCGTTTGCCTTCAGTCAACATTTTGCGGCCAAAGCAAAAGGGCATAGGTTGGTGGACATGAGGGTTCTTTGGAGGCCTGGCTGCATCGCTCCAGTGGCGCCCAACTCATTTTGCTGGGGCCAGAAAGGAACGTGACCCAAATGGTCCCATTCTCGGAAGCACATGAGAAAAGCCCTTTAGTTGACTTGGTGGCTCCTAGCCATCCCCTTAGCTCTTTAGCTTTTTTTGGGGTTTAGTGGGAGTTTCCATTTGGCCCACTAAAAGTTAAACTGTTAGCGGGGGAACCGAGGACAGCCCAGTTGGGGATCCAATTCCTTTTTCCGTTTGGGAATTTCAGTATTCCTATAGGCCACAGAGTTTCAACCAGAGTGTTGGCTCTTGCAGATCTTCATGTGTCACGTTGATGCAGTGCATCAACTAGGCGCTCGACCAGCAAGTTTGCTTGTCATCAAGAGGAACCCATAGGTGTCCTTTTTATGGGTTAGTCATAAACATGGATGGCACTGGTTTAGATTAGATTGGTTTTATTAAGTTTAGCAGTGACATCATTTTTTCCAAATGGCAACCAATGGAGGAACCCAGACTTCAGAACCCCTTGGTTGATCACTGGTTCTATAGGCGTGTGTCCGTGTGTGAGTGTATGTGTGAGTGTATGTGTGTGTGTGTGTGTGTCCCGGTATACCGTGAAACCGGATTTCATCCACGCACAGACTCCCGAGCTTGGCACATCTAAATACTGCTGGTGTGCTGCTACAACCATCACTGAATTTGGTTTTCAAGTACCCCACAACATTATTATTTAGGCCCTTGACAAACGACTTGCTTCCTACAACCTTCACTTAGTATGGTTTTTAGCAGCCCACAACCCCATTCTATTCATATTTAGAGCCTTATAGTAGCTACGTCGCTCGTCCCAAGCCATTCCGATTCGAGTGAGTGGGGTCTTGGGTTTCAGGCTGTCCCAGTGCTTCTCCTCTTTGGCCTGCGAGGCGATTCGGGCACGTGTGAGCTGAATGAGAGAACCGCCAGGGTTTAAGCCTGCCGGCGCGGTAGGTAGGGAATCAGGGAATGAACCCAGGCTTCGGTCCCCGAATAAAGGAAACCACCAGTTGGAAGGTCATTCCCTCATTCCCTGCTGAGCACCAATTTAAAGGGGCAAGCGGAATTTTATTGCAAACCAACTTGGGAACAAGCAGTTGGGGGATGCGGTGGTAGTTTCTGAAGAGTTTGTTTTCCAACCAACGGCTGATTCAGCTATGGATTTGGTCGAAATCGGCCCAGAGATCGGCTCGATAAGGGTTCAAAAGGAGGGTTCCAGGGATTCGGTTCCAGGGCTGTTGGGGATGTCACTTGGTTTGCTTTTGCTTGGCTTGAAGGGCAAAGGGTATTATTACTAAACCTAATGAATTAGCACCATTCTAGTGACGATTTCGGGGGGCAACCAAAAGGACAGCCTGCGCATGTTGGTTTTCAAGAACCCGAATCTCCAGCCGAATCGGGGGTTCCACCAAGGGACTTGGCGTTCTTTGTGGTACGTCCTCATAAGGTACTTGATTTCTCAACAGTTCCACCACGTCGTCTGCTTTTTTTTGTTGGCGTGGGGCGCCCAAAGCAAACATAATCCAACTTGAAATAAGCCCAGAGGGTGCGGTGGCTGGTGCCCTGGACAGGTCAGGAAGTTGCTTGTTTCGCGTAGAGAACCAGTTTAAGGCGTTTAAGGCGTGGTCTGAGGCGTCTTCAGTCATTTACCAGTGTGCTTTGGGTGCTTATTTCACCTATCCCGGTGGCTGCTTATCTTGGCGCAGCCACACCCTGAGGCTTCGAGGGATGAGGATTGACGACTTGTTAATCTCAGTGGCCCAAAGCAAATCGACCAGATCTGACCTTTTGGTTTCTCCTTTTTGGTCTGGTTTTAGTCATAGCCCCAAAAGGTGAACCTTTTTTTTTTCTGGGTCCTTTGGGCAAGTGAGTAATACTTGACTACAAGGTTTCACTGTTCGCAAGTAATCACCGCATCGCAAAGTTATTTGCCAGAATGGCCTAGTCTTCAACGCATCCATGCTTGCTCGAGCATGATGAACGCATTTCTCAATGCACATCCGGAGAAGCCTCCGCGGCAGTGCGTAAAGTGAGTATCAAACTAAACATGCCAGACTGGTCGCGCTTTGCTGGCTGCCGCACCCTCCGCAACTACTATATCAACACAAGGAGTACATCCGTTTGGAACTTCGCGACTAGGGGGGCTGCCCTTTTCAAAGCTCTGCGACCCCCTTCTTTTCCACCGGTGATGTTGTCATCACTCGGGGCTGGCTTCCTCTGGGAAGTGTCAGGCGCTGCTGTCCCGGCGGCGCGTGGAGCGGGAAGCCTGGGAAGCTCAGGCGCGCATCGCATCGCGGGACCGGGCGGAGGAAGCGCCGAGGGAGCAGAGGCGGTTTGTTTCCCAGAAAGTTGTGTTCGACTTACCTCTTAAAAACACAACTTTTCAACTTTTTGGGTAACATGGGCTAGAGGTCTGTAAAAGATTAACTTCCCCAGGGCTTGGAGTTTTAATGGGTAAGTCGAGGGCACCCTCCCACCAACTAACATGGAAGTGCAAAAAGGCCCTTTCCAAGAGGAAAGTGGTATTGGCTGGTGGGAGGGTATCCTTCTCAGGGCTGAGTAAAGGGAACAAAAAAGGGAAACCCACCCAACAGAAAATCGGGGGCTGCGTAAAGGGAACGCCACTTCAAGATTGTGGTGGACTCGCACTTCGTAGAATTGCTTTGGTAGAGTCTCTTTGGGCTGCAGACTACAAGACTAGAAGAGACCTAACAGTGGCTGAGATGTTTGACCTGCTAGAATCTCATTCAACTGGATGGCTTCAGAATGCAGTTCAGACAGGATTCGATGGTTGTCCCAAGTGAAGCCCGCATCGATGAGGAAGCTGCGTGGTTATTTGCCTGACCTCTCCCTTCCCTGAGCTTGTAGGTTCGACGTTATGCCTGGAGCAAGGATCCTGGCAGCTGCTTTTGGAGGCTACTCCACAAAAATGCAAAGGCAACCCACCGATTTTATGGGTCCCCTGGTTGAACACCCATACATGGTTGTTGTTGGGAAACATTTTACATGTTTGCTTATTGTAATTTAGTGGGACATCCCGACTTAGCTGCTAAAATTTGTGTTTTTTTTTTCTTTTCAACGTTAACCAAGGACGGTTGAATACTTACATTTAGTTTGGGTGGTTTTAAGCCTTAGGGGGACTAATGGGATATATTATATATATATGTGTGTGTGTATTTTCTTCCATATTGACCAGGTCAGTATTATTGTTATAGTGATTTTGACGAACATGTCATTTTCACATGGTGTTGCTTGTAAGCGATGTGCATGGAAAACGCTATGTAACAACTATGTAGCAACTATGTACCAATGATTTATACTACTTGCTAATCGGAGGTTCTCAAAATGGACCACGTGTGGCTGGTTATTTGAAGGGAAACGAGAAGGAACGTGACCATCTGTGTTCAGAAGCGTCCATTTCCAGCATTTCAGTCCAATTTGCCCAGATGATTTCCCGGGATCGACCTTTCTTGCCCAGCTAGCGACGCTTGGTATAGGCCAAGAGCGACCGGGACGTTCACAGCCGCTTGCAGCTGAACCAGCGCAAGGCGGGGGAACCGAGGGAACGCAACAACCCCGTGTTTGGTACCTGCTGGAGGTTTGCGTCATGGTTGGGGGTTGCTCGCAGCGATTCCTGAACAGGGGGCCAAAGCCCAAGGGCGGAAATTGGGCAAATGTTCTTTTGGTTTTCCAGTTGGTCGCTTTTTGGTTCGTCCAACATGGGCTTCACCCTTTCCAGAGAATGTTGTTTCCACTAAGAAACAAGGATTTTTGGAGTTAAATATCAATCGCCCTTTGAGAAGTGAAGTTGGAGCCTATGCACATTTGCCCCTCTAAAGCTGGCAAGGAGTTCAGAGACAGAGCGACTGGGCCCTCAGATGTGTTTTCCCCTTTGGGGAGTGATGATTCCCCATGGACCTGCTTTTTGCACATGTGGACTGAGAGTCTCCAAAGATATAGAGCCTTATTTCTTGGATAGTGTGTGAAGGCACACCGAGAGGAAACCACCCAGCTTCAATAAGGGAACATGCCAAGTGAGTTTCCTCACCTCCCGAGTTTCTGCGGACTTACTTTGAGATGCCATGTTGGTCAACGCATGTGAGCCACAATCAAAACCCGGGTAGATGAAGGCTAGTAAGGGGCAGTCCCAGCCAGAAATAGTTGCGGCCGCCTTCTTAAATCTCCACATGGTTCTGGGTAGACCATTTTAATACCGGGTTTTGATTGTGACTCATGTTTGTTTCAGCCTTTCTTTATCTCGGCGGTTCTCAACCGGTGGACCGGTTGTTCAAATCTCTCAAGCGCGGGGAAGTTGGAGCTTTGAGCCCGCTTTCCGTGATAACCCCTAAGGAAGCCATTTGGATGTGAATCCCTCACAGAAGGGATGGTTTTTTGTTGTTTTTGTTTTCGCAACTACGACAGACACCGCACCTATGATACACATTTGGTACCGTATGACCAGGAGCTCCTTGTATTTGTTTATCCCAAAAAGCAAACAAAACCAGCCAAACAGCAGCACCGTTTTGTATAGAATTGGTTGTTGCATTTTGCTTAAGCTATCCAGCCACCAAAAAACACAAACAGGCAAAAACAAACACACACACACACACACACACACACACACAAACACACGCAGAGGCACAGAGAGCCTCAGTGGATCCCAATTACCCATACAGCAGGTACCCCTTCGCTACTTTCCTTTTGGTTTCTATATATCGGGTTCCCGCCCTTGGGTACCTTTACCAGGTAAAAACCAGCTATATTGTTCTTCTTTTAGAAAAACATATCGGGTGGTTCCCTTGGTTACCTAAATGGATCCACTGGGGTCTCCAAGCGTCTGTTTTTTCCTGCAAACCCCAAAAAGCCCAACCAACCCTAGTTGAGCCTTGGTTACCTACAAATCTACCAAGAAGAAAAGAAAGCTCTTCGTCTTTTGGTTTCTATACCGGGGGCTATACACCAGACAAATGTGTTTTGAACCACTGGAAGCCGCCCAAAGAAGATCACCACTCCGACCCAGCAAAAATCCCGGCGCGGGCGCTTCGGCGCCGCCGCATCATGGTTGTTGTTGGGACACATCTTACATGTTTCTTTGTTGTGGCTCAGGGGTTGAAATCCAAAAACGGCCGACTTAGAGTTGGCATTTATCCCCGAAGTTCAAATCCACCGAACTGCTAAACATTTTTGTGGTTGTTTCCCCTTCCAACGGTCCACCAAGTCGCAAGTCGCCTTCTTCGGGAGCCCGAGGCCTTGGCGGCCCTGCGCCAGGAGCAAAGCCGCGCGGGGCTGCGGGGGCGGCGGGCGGCCTGGGCCGCGTGGCCCGGGGGCCCGGCGGAGCGATGGTGGGCTGATGTGGGCTGGACATGGCGCGGCGTTTTTGGAGGGGGACCTTTAAGGGTGGGTGGGCTGGACAGGGCAAGTGGTTTTTGGAGGGGGATCTTCAAAGGGGGGGGGTGAGCCAACCTAAAGGGGGGAGGGGAAGGTGAATTTGTGAGGGGGGAAGGACGAAATGGTGGGTTTATTCTTGTTGGTTTTCCCTTCCATGTGCATTTAGCTGGAGAAGAGATGTTTTAGCTGGACTTATTTGAGACTTATTTGAGACTTATTTGCGTATGTGTTCGTATTTTGTCCAGGCGGCTTGAGCTAATGGAAGTGTTGTATTTTAGTACGAAATATGAAATACGACGGAGTACTCCAGATGTGGGCCAAGTATAAACCAACCTTCAAGGAGGGGATGGGTCATTTTTTTAGGGGGGCCCTAACTTGTGTTGGTTTTCCTTTTGGCTTCCCTTCAAAACCATCCCTCAAGAATGACAAAGCCAAATTCAGCTTCGCTCTACCAGCACCCTTGCCACTGCTTTTCCCCATATCCAAAGTCCCAAGTTGGTTGCAGTTCGACATGGGCTTTGGAATTGAAATGGGCCACTTGGGGTTTCCAGCAGGGGTTTTGAACATGGGAAGCAGTTCCAAGTGGATCTGGGCTGCTTCTTTGAATTGGAGTTGAACCCCTTGTAGAGGGCACATGGGGTTTCTGCGCCCAAACCGCCGGGCTCCAAAGCACCCATTTCGGGGGATCTTCGGAGTGCAGCCGCACGAGACCAAACACGTCGGCACTGGTGACCAGAAAGCAATCAGCACCTATCTCCGGTGAAGGAAGCAACAATTCCATTGATTTTTCGTTTTTGAATGAGAATTGACTGTTTCACGCAGCTAGCAGGCCCTGCCCTCGGACAGCAGCAGAGAGAGAGAGAGAGGAGTTACACTTTGCGAGTTGCGGATAGCGACTTTGAACTTGCAAGTTGATTTTTGTTTACCTCCCCAACCATGGGGCGCGGTGAACTTGTTTTTTGAGGGTATGCAATTTGCAGGTGGTTATTTTGTTTGAGGGTCTCGTTTTTTGTTTTTTGAGGGTATGCAATTTGCAGGTAATTGTCTCCTTCTGCAGGTTTGGATTCACGGAAACCGCAGCGGGGGGTTTTCTCCGAGATGCGCATGGAGCCGACTGCTTGGCTCTCGCCTCACAGCTCTAAGGCGCAGCTACGCGTGCTGGAAGGGCCACCGCAGGAGGCGGGTGTCTCAGCGTTTTGACGCGACCAACTTGGGTGCGTGTCCTGGGATTCTTTGTTTTTGAATCGAGGCAAAAACGGGGGTTCTTGGTTTTTGAGTCAAAGCTTGGTGGCTCCCGAAGGCCATCCGGTTCAACTTAGCTTCTTAGCCTTGTAGTGTTTAGTGGGGCCCGTTTTCGAGCTTTTGGCGGGCGATCTGAGGACAGCTCAGAAAAATACTCAAGCAAAGAACAGGGGTTCCCCCAAAAAACGAGAACCATTTCGGCTTCTGGGTATCTAACCTGCCGGGGAGTGTTTTTTCCTTGAACCTGCGCACCTGTGACACCTGTGAGGGCCATTTGGTTGCCTGAAGTGAGCTTTGGGTGGCTCGTCTTCTTTTGAGGGTACCTGATTTGTTGGTAGTTTTCAAGGGGACCAAAAGGTCCCCCCCAAAGAAAGACGCCCCCGTTGTTTCTTGCACTTCGCATGGCTTGACGGCTTCTGCATTGGTTGCAGCTCGGAACATGTCGGTTGGGAGTGTGTTTCCCTTTGGGTTGATACTTCGGCCACCCATGTGATTTGGCTTCCTCTTGTTCAAGTATGTTGTATTTTCCCCTTGTCGGCTTTAAAGGGAATCTGTCACTGCTGGAGATATCTGGAGATATCTGCTGTTTTCCAGGGGGCTTAAGCACGCACGTGGAGGTGTGGGGCTTCTTTCGAGGGCAAAGCCGATCGTGGATTGAAGGTAGCGGAGCCATTTACTCATTTCATGGTTGTTATTGGGAAGCATTTTGCATTTTCGCTTATTGTGGTTTAGTGGGAAATCCCCACTTAACTGCTAAAACTTAAGTTTTGCTCCGCTTCCAACGTCAACCAAGATTTGGGCATGGGTCAAAATTCAACCGCCAGGGGACCAGGTTTTGGTTCATGTTTCCACTTTCCAGGGTTCCATTTGGGGTACATACTTTTGACCCACAGCCATTTGAGATGACAAGCTTTAGGCTTTTCCTGTCAGTCTAGTCTTAGGTCCGGTAGACGCATCGATGACCCCTGGTCTGCCATCATTACGTTTGCATGGCCATCATAATTGTGAGTGTCGCGCACCGACCTTAGAGAAGAACTGTCGGATTTCCTCACGGGCCTTAAAGCGTCTCGCTTTCACTCCAAGGCAACCGAATGAGAACTCTCAAAAAAAGACCCGCCTGCATCCTCCAGCGTGCAAAATTCGATTGGTGCGACCCAAAGGCAGTTCTTGGGCCCCGCGTGGCATATGGGTATGGGGTCCATGCTTCCATTCACCAGGATTCGCCAGGGCAAGCCATTTGCATGGTGGTCGTGTTTGGGAAACATGTTACCTTGCTGCTTATTGTGGTTTAGCGGTGGAAATCCAAACTCCCACTTCACTGCTAAAGTTCTTAAAACTTTGTGCTCCCTTCCAAAGTCAACCAAGCATTTGGGCAACCCAATTTTTCACCCTCCGCCACACTAGGTCCTCAGTAGTGCCCTTTTGCATTTTTTTTGAGTTTTTGTTGGGGGAGGGTTCCCCTACTGAAATAGACTACAGAAGAAGTTGGTACCCTTATTCTAACCTCTCTACTGGACCTAGCACACGTCGGCTCGCGTTTCTTTTCGCCAGGCGCCTGGGCGCGCTGCTGCAGCGCTCCGCGGCCGCGGCGGCGCGCGACAGCGCGCGCTGGAACCTGCTGCTTTGGTGCCTCGCGGCGCGGGAGGCGGGGAAGCGGCGGCGTCGGGGGGGGGGGGGGTGTAAATCCGCGGGGAAAGAAGACCCTGTTGAGCTTGACTCTAGTCCGACTTTGTGAAATGACATGGGAGGCGTAGCATAAGAGGGAGAAAGGTAAACCAAAAGGGGCTCGATTTGTTTCAGGGTTCTGGGATCAAGGGGCTCATCCAACCACTGCTCTGATAGTTACAAGGGAATCTCCCACTATGGGGGGATCTAATCATGTTTAGTTGGGCAAAAGCTGACGCGGCGTTGGTTGCCAGCTTGTTTGCGTGTGTGTGTGTGTGTGTGTGTGTGTGTGTGTTTATTTTGGTGTGATTTGTTTGCCGCCCGAAATAAGATTTTGGATAGTGTGGGCCGCACTTAAGGGGGGACCCAGCGATGGACCAATCCACGAAGCAAGCAGGTGGTGTGAATAACACAAGTCGCCAAATGAATACGCATCGTTTGTTTCTTGAGGATCCGGAAGCAACAATACCCTCAAAACTTGTCCTGGAGTATTTAAGCCGATGACCACCAACCCAGACCCCCCAACGCCAATATGGTTGTTGGGAAACATTTTACATGTTTGCTTCTTGTGGTTTAGTGGTGGACAAATCCCACTCCACTGAACTGCTAAAGTTCATGTTTTTGCTCCCCTTCCAACATCAACCAAGATGTTATCTCCCTTCCAGAACTGCTTGTTTCACAAGCCATTGAGGGGTCAAACATGGTGCCAATGAGAGGGAATGGTGTTTCACAAGCCATGGTAACATGGCGTTATCTCCCTTCCAGCCCAAAGCTTCCTCTCTTTTTTTTGCTCCCCTTCCAGCCCAAAACCAAGAAACCCAAGCACCAAACCACCAAACCACCAAGCCACCAAACCGCCAAACCACCACACCACCAAGCCACCAACCCCAAACCGCCAAGTGGAGGGAAGCTGAGAGCCTCGCGAATGCGAGGACAAGGCCCTGGCGCGGTTCTGGCGCTGTAGATTGCGCAGGCCTCAGGTCTGAGGGGCGGAGCTTTTTTTGGGGTGTGTCTGTTTGTTCTTTAGGGTATCCCGTTTTTCCCGAAAGCATGGCGAAGGGTTCTTCCGCTGGGCTCACTTGAGTTGTTCTCATGAGAGTCATTACAAGGTGTCCTTGCAAGGAATCATCATCATGAAAGTCAATGCAAGGAGTCATTGCAAGGAGTCATTGCAAGGAGTCATTGCAAGGAGTCATTGCAAGGAGTCATTGCAAGGAGTCATTGCAAGGAGTCGTTGCAAGGAGTCATTGCAAGGAGTCATTGCAAGGAGTCATTGCAAGGAGTCATTGCAAGGAGTCATTGCAAGGAGTCATTGCAAGGAGTCATTGCAAGGAGTCATTGCAAGGAGTCATTGCAAGGAGTCATTGCAAGGAGTCATTGCAAGGAGTCATTGCAAGGAGTCATGAGAGTCATTGCGAGCTGCGCATGGAGTCAAGTGCAAGTTGCAAGTGCAAGGAGTCAAGTGCAAGTTGCAAGTGCAAGGAGTCAGGTGCAAGTTGCAAGTGCATGGAGTCAAGTGCAAGTTGCAAGTGCAAGGAGTCAAGTGCAAGTTGCAAGTGCAAGGAGTCAAGTGCAATTGACTTGCAAGGAGTTAAAATCTCTTCTTAGGGCGGCGTGGTAGTGCCGACGACACTACACGAAAATCGACCCTCTGCGGGGATCGGCGTGGTCGAGGTGCAAAAACCCATGGTTTTGTGCGATTTCTGCGGTGCTCGCGCAACCCTCTGCGGGGATCGGCGTGGTCGAGGTGGAAAAACCCCTGGTTTTTTGCGATTTCTAAAGTTCCCGCGCGACCTTCTGCGGGGATCGGCGTGGTCGAGGTGCAAAAACCCATGTTTTTTTTTGCGATTTCTGCGGTCTCCGCGCAACCCTCTGCGGGGATCGGCGTGGTCGAGGTGCAAAAACCCATGGTTTTTTGCGATTTCTGCGGTGCTCGCGCGACCCTTTGCGGGGATCGGCGTGGTCGAGGTGCAAAAACTCGAGGTTTTTTTGCGATTTCTGCGGTGCTCGCGCGACCCTCTTCGGGGATCGGCGTGGTCGAGGTGCAAAAACTCGAGGTTTTTTGCGACTTTTGTTGTTCGAACTGGTCCTCGGGAGTTGTCTCGTGGCTCGAGCGCCTGCTCCCGGGACCGGCGGGTCGCGGGTTCGATTCCTCCCTGGTCCGCGGGCGGGCGTCGCAAGATGCAACTTGCATTTTAAAGCAACTTGCGCAGAGCAACTTGCGCAGAGCAAGTTGCACAGAGCAACTTGCGCAGACCAACTTGCACCGACCAGTTTGCGCAGAGCGCCTTGCCTAGAGCAACTTGCGCAGAGCAACTTACGCAGAGCAACTTGAACAGAGCAACTTGCACAGAGCAGCTTGCGCAGAGCAACTTGCAGGGAGCGCAATTTGCACAGAGCAACTTGCAGGGAGCCACTTGCAGGGACCAACTTGCCGGAGCAACTTGCGCGGAGCAACTTGCGCAGAGCAACTTGCACAGTGCAACTTGCGTAGAGCAACCTGCGCAGACCAACTTGCACTGACCAGTTTGCGCAGAGCACCTTGCCTGGTGCTGTCTCGCGCTTGCTTCACAAATGCTTGGTGGAGGGAAAAAACGCATCCTGCAGCGTTGGGCCGACCTCGCTTGCGATGTTATGCTTTCGGGCCAACCGTGGTCTAATTAGTAGTCGTGTTCTTCTGAGGGAAGCGACAAGGACAAAAAAAAGGGAGCCACCGAGGGTATCCCATTTTAGTCGTGTTCTTTTAAGGGAAGCGACAAGGACCACCACCGAAATCCATTTTGGTGGTCCGATTCCTGAGCAGTGGAGCCGTGGTGTCACCTTGCTGTCGTCCTCTCTTGGTGTGATCTGATCAGGGGGAAAATGGGGGACATATCGGGAGCCCTGGTCAACAGCTCCGAGTTGGTTTCACCATGTTCTTTCCGTGTGATCCTCTGCGTGGCCGATGGGCAACAGCGGATCAAGCGGCTCTGACCTTTGCCACTTCAGAGATGAGTCACAATCAAAACCCGGGTAGATGAAGGTGAGAAAGGGATAATCCCAACCATAAATAGCTGCGGGCCGCCTTCTTAATTCTTTACATGGTTGGGTAAACCATTTTAATACCGGGTTTTGATGATGACTCAGACGATACCCGACTGGAATCGAATGAATTCTTCAAAGGCCCGGCCCTTGTTCGACCTCCCAAACTCTGGAGACCTCGACGACACCAAGCTATGAGTTTCGATAGCCCCCCCCCCAAAAAAAATAAAACATTTGTTTGGTGGACTTGATTCCCCATGTGATTGATTAGACATCGTTCCGACCAGAGATTTGATGTTGAGAAATCTCAAAATGAGGGAATACCCGCCACCCACCAGGGACTAAACATTGGAAGAGCAAAAGCTGCAGATGTCCACTGGTTAGTTGGGTCGGGTTTTGGGCTTGTTTTTTGACAGTATATACTCCTTGTTGGGGTTTGTTTAAAGGTCATCCTCAGGCTTGGGGCGTTTCTACTTGGCGACAATTCTGAAATCCCAGGTGTTCAGTGATACTCTTCTTTTGTCTTGGGATCTCCACTAAAAAAAACGTCAACACCGTTTTTGGGCCCCCTTTTCCACCAGGCTCGCTGGTTGCAACATGCTCAGTCATACGATGGTGCCCACCCCATTTATGTTGGTCAATTTTTGTTGGAACCAACCCGCCCCCAGCAAACTCACGGAACTTGAAGGGGGGTCAACGAATTTGAACAATACAGAACATACAGTATATCATTTTTAAAGCTAGTTGCCTATAAGAACTCACTACTCCCTGGTGCGATCTTTTCGCGACTGAGGCGTGGCTCCGACCTCATCTTGCGCCTGCGGGGGCTGCTGATGAAGCAGCAGGCCCAACTGCCAGACCTCTACTTGAGCAATTTGTGCGGTTTGCTTTTTGTTTGGAGCAGGTGTCCAGGACACATCAAGTACCAACAACATTGTGAGGTCTGGGACTTGTTTGGCGTTGTGATAGGCCCGTCATTATGACTGTTTCTGGGGCGTGTCGAAGTCGAAAACTGGGGTTGTTCTCCTTAGGCCACCGCTTTGGGGGGGCGACTTTGAGCATGGTAAATTAATGAGGCCAGAATTGGCCTGTCAATACGTCAGATCTCTGAAAGGGAAGGCACCCACTTGTGACAGAAAAACGGAATTCCACCCGCCAGTCAAAGGCCGCTTCTCTCCAGCTAATTGTTTGAGGCGGAATGACAAAGCCCCCACCAGTTCTAAAATACGAGGCGATCTCTCCTCAAGTATTGAGCACATCATGGTTGTTGTTGGGAAACATTTTCATTATTGCTTGAATTCCAACTAAACTGCTGAAATTTAAGTTTTTGCTCCCCTTCCAACGTCAACCAAGATGTGATCTCCCTTCCAAAACCGTCTTGTTTCACAAGCCATTGAGGGGTCAAACATGGTTCTCCATTCGGGGGTCACGGCGAGAGACAGGGTCATGGCGCTTAGGGCTTTGTATCCCCACTGAATCCCCACCTTTGTAAATGGAACTGGGGGAGGGGGTGACCCCTGGAATTCCTTGTGTGGCTCTTGGGTTTCTTTTTGGAGGAAGCGAGTTGCAGGTAATATTTGCCTCAAGATCTTCCCAACAAGTCCATGATCGCCAGCGGGGCTATGGCGACGCTTTGCGCCATGCTATACTTGATGTTTTCCCCATTTAGTTCCCAGGCGGATTCGGCTGATGCTTGCAACTATGGCCTATGGCAGCCGGCTGGCAACTGCCCCGTCTTATGTGGAGAAGGCGTTCAGGAGATTCGCCGAGTTCCGGAGAAGGCAGGTGACAAGGATTGCCCCATTCTAAAGAGCTCCATGGCTTGTCATGCAGCGGATTGCCCAAAGGATTGTGAGGGGGAATGGGGGACTTGGAGCGCTTGCCAGCAGGATTGCACAAAAACGCGCCGCTACAGAGTTGTGCTTGACCGCAAGTCTGGGGGCAAACCATGTCCTGAAAGGACCGGGGCCTTGAAATCGGCGACATGCACCGATGGAAAATGCTCTGTCGACTGCAAGGTGGGTCAATGGACAAGCGGCGAGTGCACGAGACCCTGTGGCGGTGGTCAGCAGAGGCACACAAGGCCAGTCTTGACGCAGCCTCAGGGACGCGGGGAGCCTTGCCCACTACTGGAACGATGGGACAGTTGCAACACACATGATTGCAACTATCCCAGGATTCTGGCAAAGCTGCGCGACACCCTGCGGAATATCACCAAGGGAGAACCCGTCATGGACATTGTGACTTCCGAGGCGGAGGGATTCAAGTCCCTGGCCAAAGTCTCGCATGATTTGGCCCAGCCGCAGGCAAAGGAGTGGAGCAAGTTTGTGGAGGAGGTGAGGGATTTGGCGCGCGAATATCACCGGGGCAAGAAGATGCTCTACCAGGCCTTGGCTAAGTTGCTGGCATTGTCGAAGCAGGCGCCTGAGGAGCTTGAGGCACTTGTGCTGCAGCTTCATTCCGGAAGTTTTGCTCATGCCAAGCGCAGGTTTCTTGGTGGCTCGCAGCCATCCCCTTAGCCCTTTAGCTAGTTTCCATTTAACCCACTAAGAGTTAAACTTTTAGCGGGAGATCTGCGGGCAGCCCAGGTTTGATCGGCTCTTGCAGAAGGTCTCGACAGTGCATGGGATGGTCCTTGCGGTCCATCGCAGCTTTGTTCGAATGGAGGAGACAGCTGTGAGCTGCCGGGAAAGAGCCATGGATCGCAAAGCGGACTTTGAGGATATTGCCAAGGAGTACCACATCCTTGGCATGTCCGGACCGGGCACAGTCTCTCTCGATGGATTTCATGAGGAGCGAGGCATAGATCATCGTGGCGGTGATATCGTGTGTGGGAAATTCGGCACCGTGTCTGCCTTGGCCAGTCAATGCTTGCACGACTCATCTTGTCGTGCCTTCACACTGAGAGATGGACTGCCATGGTGTTTGAAGCACTTGCGCTACGACAGCGGTTCTGTCAGCGATATAACCCATGTCTTCTTCACAAAACTTGTGCAGAGTGGAGGGGTGGTTCAGACTCCAGACCAAGTGCAGGCCTACATGAGGAGATGGTCCGATGCTAGTAGTCTTCTTATGCGGGTTGAGGATGTTGTTGGCAGAGTGGTCATGAAGACTGGTCTGATTGAGGAAGAGTTACAGGAAATGGGCATGTATTTGACAGAGTTGCAGGGTGTCCTACATGTTGACCCAGAAGCAAAACATCGAGTGGATGAGTTAATCAATGAGATTGGCCGCGCGTTCAATGAGATTGTTGATCACTTGCAGCCAATGATGAAATGACGGGTTTATTGGCAATTCTTTGCAAAGTGTCCAAGGCTTCCTTGTGCATCGGGACTTTTAAGGCAATGCAACTTGAGATGGATGTTTCCGAGAAACTCGACGCCCCTTGTGTCATAATGGGTGTTGAAAGAGATCAAGGGAGAAACCAGCAAGAGACTGTGTGAGGGGGGCAGACTTTCAGGAAACATACCGTATCAGATTCAACGACCTGCCACGCACAGCTGATGCACAAGGTTCTAGGCCAGAAAGGCCTGAGTCTGCTTGCAAAGAGCAAAGAGTTTGCAGGGAATTTGATGAGTGCCCCCGGGTTTGGGTCAAAGTTAAGCCACCAGAGGCCATAGTCCTTGTTTCGATTTTCCAGGCCCCAGCGCAACTTGATTTTAAACTGCCAGAATGGTTTAGCCGGCTTGAAACATAGGGTCCCCAGCTTCACAAAAGGTCCCAACAAAAGGAAAGTAGCTTATCCCCCTTAGAACCACCCATTACTCCATCAAAGCAAATAACGTCAGTTTCGTGTCTTTAATCATCCGATCTCCCTTGGAACATCATGGCTCCAAAGGGAGAACCGCTTTGGATCGGCGCAGCACGTTTGAAACCACCCCTTCAAACGGGAAATATGGGCTGCTTAAGGAGAGGCTTGGGGGGCCAGCGGCGCTCACAACATCCCCCTCAATTTCAGAGGCGCGGCTTCTTTGAAACACACGTGAACTATCTCAGTGGCCCAAAGCTTTTTATGACCCTTTGACGTTTTGGTGTTCTTATATTGCTACCTATTTTTGGTCATGGCCCCAGAAGGTGATCACCGTTTGTTTGTTTTTTTTATTGGGCAAGGGGGTTCCTTTGGGCAAACTTGTTACCAGACCCTGGCCCCTTTGAAAGGCAAACCAAAGTCAGGTGTTTTCCTTGGAGCGAGGGATGCAGGGAATGAGAAACGGAATGACCCCTAAACCATCCAACTGGTGGTTTCCTTTCAGGGGCCCAATTCCTGGGTTCATTCCATTTCTCATTCCCTACTCCTCGCACCAGCAAGAATCTTCAGCTACCAGTTTCCTTTGCCATCTCTTGTTGCCGAAAAGCGGACCTGTGGGTTCATTCCCTCATTCTCTACTTATCGCACCAGCAAGTTTGGTGACCAGCGGGAAAACCAATGCGCGCCAAATGTATTCCCTGGGAAACCAAAAGGAACCCACCTCAAAATGGGGGGTGCCCGTGTATACAAGAGTATATATACAATATATATATATATGTATATATATATATGTATATTTATATACATACATATTGTTTGATCCACGCACCATGCCCAGTTCAGCGCCTGATTTCTCAAACACCAGCGAGTCTTGGCGGCTTCCGCAGGCCTTCCGAGGCTGGCAGCACGTCCGCGCCTCCGGCGAGTTTTCTCGCTGGCCTTCAGCGGGTCCGATCGTGTGAATTTCAAGGGGCCCTGTGGTGGACACCATGTAGGTGGACTGCAAAGAATCAAGAGACTACTCAAACCATGGCTATGAATTTGGACTAGGGACCCTTTGGTGGTCATTTAGGTGGGGATTGTCCACCAACCACTTTGGGGGTTCCTTATTAAAACTCATGGCATGATCTTTGAACCAAACGGGAAAAGTTGCCCATGGTCATTTGGGCGGCCCTGAATGGAATGTTGACCAACACCCATATGGTCACTCCCACGTTTTCATGGCAGACAAGGGACCCGATCCCAAACGACAGGTGCCGTGTTAGTGGGATGACCAGAACACTACCCCAAAATGAGTACCGAGCCTCAACAAAATCGCCCATATACCAGGACTCCCTATACTCCCATTCTTCCCTGCTGTGGTTTTGAACATCAGCGAAAGTGATCTCATTTGCCTCCTGCTTTGCAGAAGCTAGACGACTTCTTGCAGGGGGTTTGCCATTTGGAATTCCTTTTTCTTCCCTTCTAACATATTTCAACTGCCACAATTTCACTTTTTGCATTGGGGTGCATGAGGGTCTAAAGCAAAATGGGTTCCGACTGTTTGTGCACTTCTACAGGGGCCCTAAATTTCCCGATTAGGTTCGGGCAAGCATCATTTGCTAGGCTTTTGTTCTTCCCCAGAATTAGCCCCCCCTTTTTTTTGGGGGGGGGGGGGATCCCCTTTGTTTTCCACGAACCAGGCAAGAAAGATATATATACATATATATATATATGTATATTTGCTGGGGTCCTAATTCCAGCCTAGGTTTGCAGAAGCTGGACTACCGGAGCCCTAAATTTCCCCAAATGGATTCTTGCCGCCCATCAAGTGCTAGGCTTGTGCCAAGTTCGCTTAAGCCCTTGGGTTGTTGAAACATGCCAGGCGCCTACGAGGAGCTTTTCAAGATCCTCTCGGAGACGCAGGCAAAAAGCTTTGCCCTGTTTCATGTTTGGTGCGACTTGGGTCCATGGCCAGTGTACAGAAAGTCGGATCGAAGTCACTTCCTGAGTGGATTGGTTTGAAAAGTCTGAAGTTTTTCGTGTTCCAATAATCAGATTAAAGTCGAACATCAATGGACAATTATTTGCTAGTTCCCGAAAAGTGAGGAAACCCATACGATGGGGAAAAACAGGGAGAAGGGGTCGTGCCTTTTGTGGTTTCAAGACTTGTCTCCAGCAGGCCTACCACTGGGGTGAAATCACGGGTGCCAGAGGAAAAGTGAGCAATCAATTGACATTCCCAAACGCCGTAAACCATAACAGCTACAATTGGCGTCACGCCAAACCCCGTCTTGGGGTTGTGGGGAATCTGCGAGACACGTCCTGTTGTTGCGGGAATCTGGCGGGCCATTTTTTTTGGGGCTCCAGGTTCAGGCCCGAGTTGTTGGTTTCTCTTTGTCGCTTAAGCCCCTCTAAAAGCATTCAAGGGATTCTTATGCCACTAGACTAGACAGTTAGATAAAGGATCCATACAGCCTGTTTAACAGTGGTTTGTTTCTTCTGGTGGAAGTGGTTGGCGGCTAGTCGCAGCCGTTTAGGACCAAGAGCTCCATGCCCAACCAAGCAATCGCTGTGCAGTCTTTGTCCGACACCGCGCTTTAGTGGGGTGAGATGGGCTTCGGGACTTGTTTGTTTTGCGTCGCAAGGATCATCTCCAAATGGGCGTGTCTTTTTGTTTTTCCGGTATCCGTTTTTTTCTTCTTCTTTTTGTGGTTTTTGCCCAAACGCCAAACTCAACCCTAACCAGGCGCAAACCCTAATCTTAGACTCCTAGATGCTACAACACGGATGAAAACCCATGAACCCTATCATCATCAACATAATCGCACTAAATCGGGCACATCCACAAATAATTACCATAGTCAACCAAGTCTTTGGGCTTCCCCACATAACTGCTAAAGTTTATTTTTTTGCTCCCCTTCCAACGTCAACCAAGAACACTCAGTTGTTCAGTGGCTCCCTTTTTCCTTTTTCTTGGTGGCTGCCCCACTAAAATGGTCTTCCCAAAAAAGGGTTCCCTTTTTTCTTCCAGGGTCACTGAACAACTGAGAACAAGACACCCCGAAACGGTGTGGCTTTGGGCTTCGTGAACCGCCCCGTTGCTCGAAGCGCAGGCCGACCTGGCGCAAGCCGCGGACGCGGCCGCGCTGGCGGAGACGGCGGCGGCTGCGGCGCAGCAGAGGCGCTGCTTTCGGCTTTGGGGTTTCGGGTTTCGGGGCGACCGAAGAAGCACCCAGGCCCCTTTTTTAGATATGTATTTATATACTTCTGTGCATTTTGCCAAGGGCTGTTAGGACTTTAACTTTTTGCAAACTAATGGGTTTTCCACTAAACCACTAAAAGTTAAACTTTTAGCAGGGGAGCAGAAAGCAACCGAGTATATATACAAAGAAACCTTGTTTTTTTTGGAGTGGGTTACCGTTGCATTTGAGAGGGGTCCCTCATTTTTTCTCTAAAGTGGCGGTTTGAATGGACTCAGGGTTGTGGTTGATCACTCGGGGGTTTATCCAACCACTTCTCCTTGGGAAGCCCTTTTTGTACAGAAGTGGTCATTTCCGGCCGCCCTGCCCAGACCTGAGCCAGCTGTTTGTTTTTTGTTTGGAGTGGGTTACCGTTGCAGTTGACCGTCCCTCGAAAAGTTGCGATCGTTTCAATGGACCCCACCAACAACCCTTGAAAAAGCAAAGCCAGTGACACCCGATTGTTGTTCGATTTATCTAGATGTCTAGGCGGTCCATGACTAGGTCCCCCAGCTAGGTACCCTTTCTCACCCTTTTTTGGGGGAGGGTTCCCCTACTAAACTACACTACAGAAAGACATGGGTACCCTAAACCCTTACCTTGCTCGGGTTTGGTCCCCCTGGCACCAACTTCTTTGCCTCCATCCGGCAAGTAGTTAGATGTGAGAACAGCTGTTCAGGCTCCGGTGAGGTCTGTTTTTTTTTGGGACCCCCCCCCAAACATGGTGGTTTTCCGTGTTGGTGTGTCTTGAGCACCAAAAAAAGGTACCCTCAAAAAAGACGAACCTGGTGGTGGTTCTGCTCTCACTTTGTTTGGCTGTGGTTAAGAACGTTTCCCTTGGACATCGACTGCCAAAGATGGCACCAATTCTTGCACGTGATCGCACCGACTGGGACATTTGTTTTTACGGTGTTTGGGTGACTTCTAGGGTTCCTCAGACGTTGGGTTAGCCTTTTCCACCGAACCAGCCCAAAGAGGATCCTGAATTCTTGGTCATGTCTTTGGGTGCCCTTTTAAAGTTGGAGAAGCCGGACTTGGGCCTCACTTCAAGTTTTGTCGCACTGCAGAGGTGGTTTGTTGCCTCACAAGACATATATACATATATGAATTGTTAAACTTGGTATGACCTGTGAACCTAGTGTGGAGGACCTGTGTGGTGAATCAGCGCGGCTGTAGCAAACTGTTTTCCTCTCTGGCAATTGTAGAAGGCTCAAGGCCTTGGGATGTATGGGCAGCGGATGTAGCCCATCTGTACTGCTAGGCAAAGCATGTACAAAGGCATGTGTACTCTTAACACGCCTCCTTAGAGTACAGTATTTCAACTGTATCTCTAAAATGTATTGTACAGTCATAACCTCGTGGTTCGGGATGATGTAAAACTCACCTGCAAAGAAAGTGTTCGCCAGATTGCAGATTGTTTGTACAACTGTGTCCCTCGTGGGCGGTTAGGAACATGTACCCCAAACTCGTAGTTGAGTCCGGTGTGCCACGTGGGCCCAAAATTGTAATCCTCATGTACAACCATCTCAGTTGTTCTCTTCCTGAATTTGCTTGCTGTGCATCATCTTGTAGCCGTTGTGCTGTGAAAGGATCACAGCGCTGTCCACTTCTCTCATGCGTTGGTCGCTGTAGCCAGCTTGTCCAGGGGCCAAGATTGTAGCCTCTCCTGACAGCTGTAGCTTGTTCTCCAGGATGTAGTGAAAGAGCCGTGCACGAAGTGGCTCAGGCCGTGTACGGTGGTGTAGTCGCTTGGCTCCTCAGGAGCGATGTAGGCTGGGTTGCCCTCTGTAGGCTCCAGTGTGAAACCATCCGGTACGGCCATGGGCTCATGAATGGACTTGTAGGCGCGATGAGCCATTGTTGACCTTGCAATGTATCTCCTTCTAGCTGTACAAGACCGATGCAAATGGCTGCAGTGATGAAACATGTATTTAAACTTCTGTCAGACTCAGTCAGGACGCCTACCACAGCAGCTGCCATAGGTCCTAAAACGCAACACACGCCAAGCCCAAGCAAGCGCTACTGGATGGCGCTTGCAACCCGCAACTGGCCCCTTTCCAACTTGGCGTTTTCTCGCCGTCACGCATGTCAGCTTCGTGTCTTTGCGTAAGCTTATCTAGTTACCTAGGGATCTAGATGTTATCTATGTAACTAGCTACCTTGTGAACTACTTATCTAGAGATCTAGTTTTCCAGCAATCTAGATATCTAGTTGCCTTGCGATCTAGTTCTCTAGCTGTCTAGCTATCCAATTATCTAGTGCCCGCGCGACCTAGTTGTCTAGTTATCTAGTTGTCATGTTATTTAACTTTGCTGTGATCTAGTTATCCATCTGCCAAGTTATCTTGTCACCTATCCAATCAATTCTCCAGTAATCTAGTCACTAGGTGTTTTGCTACCTAGCTATCTAGTTATCTAACTAACTAGATGCTTTAATTATCTAGCTGATAACCAAGTTTTAGCTGGTTAGCTAACTAGCTAATTAATTAGCTAACAGAAGGCAGCACGGCGCAGCACTACAGCGAGAGCGCGTCGACCGCAAAACGTTGCGCGAGCATTGCAGAAAGTAGCATGGCGCTACAGCGAGAGCGCTGCGACCCCCCAAAACTATGCAGAGAAAACAGCGTGCGCGGCCATTCGAGAGGCCCCGGCGTCCGAGCCTGTCCAGTTCCGCACCCGTTCCGACACCGTTCCGCGCCCGTTCCAAGACCGTCCGAGACCGCTTCCGTCAGGCGTCAAGATTCAGGAACTGCTCTTATGCTTTCTAAGTAAACGCATGCATTGCTTCAGAACAGCCAACTCAATTAGTTCCAGCGCTACGGAAGTTCCTTCTAAACTTCGCTTGATTATTCCCGAAAGCGTTAGCGAAGGGTTCTTTGGACAAAAAGGTTGCCAGTTACACAGCTGACTTACGCAGCGTGACTGACACAGCCTGACTTACGCAGCCTAGCTTACGCAGCGTGACTTACTCAAACTGACTTACACGCAGCCTGAACTACGCAGCCTGACACACAGCCTTCTATCGAAGCTCGCAGCCTTTATTTCTATCTTCTTTCTTAGCCAGGGGTGAGTCTGGCGAGCGCTGGGGGGGTGAACCCTCTGCGGAGATTGCGCGCGTCGGATCGCTCTCGCCGCGGCGCCGCGCGAATTTGCAACTTCGCCGACGAACCCTCTGCGGAGATTGTGCATGTCGGATCGCCCTCGCTGTGGCGCCGTGCGAATTTTCTACGTTGCTGACGAACTCTCCGCGGAGACTGCGCGCGTCGGAGCGCTCTCGCTGTGGCGCCGTGCGAATTTGCAACTTCGCCGACGAACCCTCTGCGGAGAGGGAGCTGTGGCGCCTTGCGAATTTTCTACGTGGCCGACGAACCATCTGCGAAGATGGCGCGCGTCGAATCGCTCTTGCTTTGGCGCCGTGCGAATTTCAAAGCTCGCCGGCGAACCCTCTGCGGAGATTGTGCGCGTTGAATCGCTCTCGCTGCGGCGCCGCTGTGCGATTTTCAAAAGTTAGCAGACGCGCCCTCTGCGGAGATCGTGCGAGTCAGATCGCTCTCGCTTTGGCGACGCGCGAATCTTAAAAGCCGTTGTGTTTCGTGCTGTGTTAGACGAGGGTTTCGGAAGAGTCACAGCTTGCGCGCTTGGAACAAAAGCTGCTATGAAGAGTTGCCGCTTGCTGACTGACACTTTGCGCAACATGTCTTGCAGCGCTTTTCTCATACTCGCTTTCGGGATAATCGGGGTCTAGCGTTGTATTTTGTCTTGCGTTTTTGCATGAGCCTCGAAGGTGCCAAGGTAGCCCTGAATGGGTCCCTCTTGAAAAGTCTCAAGCTAGCTGCGGCCGGGGCGCCTCCAGAGCGGCAGCGGCACTGGGGCGCTGGTCCGCAGGCACAAGGAGGGCGCTCGCCAGGCTCTGTGGCGGGAGGCCACCCCGCAGCCACAGGACGGCGGCCGAGCCCACCTTGTCTGGCTTCAGGTCCCCAGGCACCGGGAGAGGCGGGTGCAGGTACGCCCGTGGCCCTCTCCCAGGCAAACCTCCGGCGCCGCCGTGGAAGGTGGGCCGGGGTTGCCTACGCTCATCGACTTCTAAGGCTTTCGCACAGCCGAAGTCGATGAGCTTCACCAGCCCCGAAGAAGGATCAACCAGCAGGTTGTCCTCCTTCACGTCACGGTGGACGATCCGGAACTGGTAAAGGTGTCTGAGCCCCGCCAGCACATGCCCCAGGTCCGCGAAGGCCAGGGCTTTGTGCTCCAGTGCTCGGTGACAATGCCCACCGTGCCGCCGGCAACGGGCATGACACCGAGCAGCAGGAGCACATTGGGGCGCCTTAGCGGGGCATCGTGCGGAGGAGTGTGTGTGTGTGTGTGGTGTGTGGTGTGTGGTGTGTGGTGTGTGGTGGGTGGTGCGTGGTGCGTGGTGCATGGTGCGTGGTGCGTGGTGTGTGATGTGTGGTGCGTGGTGCGTGATGCGTGGTGCGTGGTGCGTGATGCGTGGTGCGTGGTGCGTGGTGTGTGGTGTGTGGTGTGTGGTGTGTGGTGTGTGGTGTGTGGTGTGTGGTGTGTGGTGTGTGGTGTGTGTGTGTGTGTGTGTGTTGTGTGTGTGTGTGTTGTGTGTGTGTGTGTGTGTGTGTGTGTGTGTTGTGTGTGTGTGTGTTGTGTGTTGTGTGTGTGTGTGTGTGTGTGTGTGTGTGTGTGTGTGTGTGTGTGTGTGTGTGTGTGTGTGTGTGTGTGTGTGTGTGTGTGTGTGTGTGTGTGTGTGTGTGTGTGTGTTTGTGTGTGTGTGTTGTGTGTGTGTGTGTGTTTGTGTGTTGTGTGTGTGTTGTGTGTTGTGTGTTTGTGTGTTTGTGTGTGTGTGTTGTGTGTGTTGTGTGTGTTGTGTGTGTTGTGTGTGTTGTGTGTTTGTGTGTTTGTGTGTTTGTGTGTTTGTGTGTTTGTGTGTTTGTGTG